GTTCTGACTGCCAGAATGTCTTCACTTTCTACCCTGGGCTCTTCTAACACAACAGATGGGTGAAAGCTGGCATCAGCAGTGCTTGGAAGTTGGGGGATGAGGATAAGCACATCCAGGGTCAACTCTCTACCAGGGAGGCGTTGTGCACATGCACTAGGCTCCACCCCTCTCACTGGGAGTGGCCAATTCAGGGAGGCACTTGTATACTTCTCGGGTGATCTCAGGCAGAATCACACCCCAGTTCCCTGTAACAGCAATACACTCAGCAATACCCTCTTGTATGCCACTCCCTCTAGCCCCTAATCCCTGCCAAATAAACTCCCTGCCCAGAAAATCATCCCAGGCTCTGCTTTTGGGGGTGACCAAGTCAAGATACTTCAGAATCCGCTTCTTCTCCATCCTCCATCCAGATCTTTGCCTACCCAGTTGTCCAAACTGGAAACCCAGGCATATTCTTTTTTTTTTCTTCTTTTTTTGAGACCGAGTTTCACTCTCGTTGCCCAGGCTGGGGTGCAATGGTGCAATCTTGGCTCACTGCAACCTCTGCCTCCCGGGTCCAAGTGATTGTCCTGCCTCAGCCTCCCAAGTAGCTGGGGTTACAGGTGCCCACCACCACACCCGCCTCATTTTTGTAGTAAAGATGGGGTTTTGCCATGTTGGCCAGGCTGGTCTCGAACTCCTGACCTCAGGTGATCCGCCCACCTCGGCCTCCCAAAGTGCTGGGATGCTACAGCCTCTTAACTCTTTTTCCCCACCATCGGCCCTGCCTGCTCCGGCCCAGCCTCTGTTCCGCAGCCTGTGATGCACTCAAATGCAGACGTGCTCCCAGGACTTGCCCTTGGCTGACCACCTGTCTCAGTGTTCAGACGTGTGCTAAGCATGGTTGAACACACAGTAGGTGAGCGTTAGCCCAGCGACAGCTTTGTGATCCAGAACCTGCAGTTGCAGAGACCCAGAATGCTCACTGCCGCAAAGTCTGGAACTGAGGATTCTCGGGGGAAGCAGAGAAAAGGTGCCAGAAGCACTCCAGGCCTCTGAGGACACAGTACAGACCACGGCAATGGCCTCACCCAGAGACACCCCCAACCCCCGTTTCCTGTTCCCGTCACCTCAGTTAATTCACTGTCCCTCTGGGATCACGGTCAGTGACTAGCACTCTGGTGTCACCAGGGTCTGGAGCGCTCTCCCTGGCACAGTGGGGATGAAACCAGAAGGAACGATCAAATGCCCAGGAACTTTCTTTAATTTTTATCACCTTTAATGTATTTTTAATAATTTTTTGCCTCATTTACCAGATAAATCATCTAAATAAATAGATGCTATACAGTCTCTTACCAATGTCAGTACAAAAATAAAACCGCGCTCTACATCCACTCTGACTCTCCCAGCACACACATACTCGGCAAAGGCATGTGCTTGGAATCAACTCGTGTCCCCGACCCCTCCCAGATACATTCATTTAGTCTGAACAAAGCTCGAAGCTCATTCTGTGCAAAGGAAGCGCTCTTGTGCTGAGACCTGGTGGCCGCGGCGGCCACTTATAAAGCAAAAGCTAAACCACCTCACAGAAGCACAGCGCCTGCCCCTGGAACGCGGGGAGAGGAGGAGGCTGGCAGCGAGGTCACCACCCTAACAGCGGTGATGGTCTTGCATTCCAAGTGGCCGTGCCAGGGGTGGGGGTATGTCCTCCGCACCCCCACCACAAAAGGAAAAGTACCCACAGGCCTCTACATTCAAAGTGGGTAGGGGCTGGGGGAAAGAAAGGCAGGTGGGCAAATGCTTTCTAAGCCCTCCCCCCACTCCCAAGATTACTGGCCTTTTAAGGGGCTGTGGGGGTGGAGGTCACTGTCTGCCTTGCTCTACTGGGCCACTCTGGGCTGGAAGGAGGCCTGCACGGCCACAGCCATAGGTGACCTCATAGAGGTCACCAGTCCCGGGGAATGGTCCTAACAGCCCACAGCCTTTTTCCCCAGGGAGCCCGCCTACTACAGCCCATGAGCCGTGTGGCTGCCGCGAGCTGTGCACCTCAGGCCCACCCGCCCCAGGTCACAAAACTGGAGTTGGCTCTCCCTGAGCCACGGGGTTCCCCATGGGCTATAAAGGGCTGAGTAAGGGGAAAGATACGTCCTGCTGCTACAGACAAAACAAGTGCAGCCCACACAAAAAGCCCCGTGAAATCACAGACCCATAGATTGCACAAATAGTTGTTTGAAAGTGACCGGGAAGCAGGGAGAAGGTCCCATGCCCCCTGGTGGATGGGGAGCCTGACTTCTGCTGGAAGCTGCCAGCCATATTCCAAAGCCATGGGCCAAGACATTCAACTAGAGATCCCCCCAACAACCCTCTCTCACCTTCCCCTCCGCTGGGCGCCCCTCTCCTGGAAGAGCTCCCCTGGGACCCCAAACTTTCCCTTCCCCTCCACGGGGCCCCACAGCTGGAGACGGGGAGTGACTCCTGCCACCCCTTTTCCAGACCCACCCCACATATTCCTCTAGATTCCATTCCCTGGGCTGGAGGTGAATCAGGTCACCCTGGTGGGGACTGTCCCCCAGTGGAAGCACTGAATTGACCGTGGACAACTAAAGATCGAGGAGGAAGGACAGAGAGACTCAGGGATCTGGGCAGCCTGTCAACACAGCACCCCAGGCAGAAAGGGCTGTAGGCCGTCTTTGGTTTGGGAACTGGGAAGACAGGGTCTGGGAGAGAATCACCCTCTCCTTGCCTCCGTAGAGACTCTGTGACTTCCTGAGGACACAGCACAGAGCTTCCGGGCGGGTGGGCAGCTTTCAAACTCACCGACCACACTCCACTCTTGGTGTGTGTTACCCTGACTGACAGCCAAGGAAAGACAGGAGAGCTGGCCTTTTCGATGCTCCCCTCAAGCCCCCCCAATCTGGCCTTTTCTCCCCTACAGGACTGGAAGAGAAGGAGAAGTCACTCCTCACTGGCAGAGAAGCCACTGGCCGCCAGGACACCTTTGTACAAGCCAGAAAACAGTGCCGCTCACCAGAGGATGGTACAAAGCCTGCCCATCACACACAGGCAGCCTGACCTCAGAGAGGCGTGGCAGAGGTCCCTCCACAGGAACACAGGTCAGCTCCAGCTGTGGCATTTAGGTTTGATGGGCAGGAGATGCAGAATGGGAGGAGGAAGGGGCTTAGGAGTCGAGGGCTGCCCTGAGAACACGGTGGGACACTCCCCGCCTCCCTGACTGCCCACACCTGGGCTGGCTGAGTTGGAGGGGAGGGCAGAAAAAAAGGGGAATCCAAAGGGTTGAAAAGTCACCTGAGTCAGAAAGAACAAGAACCCCTCAGGGGAGGAAGGACAGGGTCCAGATGTCTCAAAGCCTGTGCTGATACATCGCACAACTTAGCAGACGCCTGCACACCCGCAGCCTGGCCCTGTGCAGCTTAGAAACCGCTTCTGCATGCCTGAAGCCAGGGATGCCATCACACCCGTGCCAGACCCCTGCCCTCCTCTGAAAGCTGCAAGCAAGCAGCAAGGTGCATGCAAGGTGGAGGAAGTGTGGGTGTGGTGGCGCATTCTTTCGTGCTATGAATCGCCCAAGTTCCCCTGGCCAGGGTTTCTAAACCAGATTTGCAAGGCCCCTGTGGACACATCAGCAGACCCACATGCGTTCGTGGGGCACATGGGAATGTACACGCGAAGGGTAACGCGTGCATACCTGTGCAGCCAGACGTGCATGAGCATTTCTGCATGGGCCAGGTGATGAGGGGAGGGCAGAGCTTTCAGCAAAAGGGTCTCTGCAGCACCTCCTCCCCGGGAAGGGTAGAAGCCTCTCTGAAGGGGAAGGGACTTGCCCCAAGTGACCTCAACCCTTCTTCCTGCCCCTTCCTCCTGCCCCACTCACTTTTGGTTGAAACCAGCCTCCACAGCCCACTGCAAAGCTGGAGTGGAAAGTTCAAGGTAAAGACCCAATCAAACCATAAAGGGGAAAAACAGCCAGCCAGGCTGGGGTGGGCCGCTCAGGGGAGAGGGTTTGGGCCTTCCAACACTCCTTTAACTCCTAGAACCTTCGGCTGCCTCACTAGAGGAGAATGATAATGGTGGTGTCCCTGGCAGGGGACATCCTGTCCCCATCCTGCCCTGGGGGTGGTCCCCCAACTCCCAGAGCAACTCTCTCCATCCCCAGCCTGAGGCTGCATGTAAACGTCCCTCAGAAAAAGGGCCGGGTGGTGGGAGAGTGGTGGCATCTTCTCCCCTCTTGCTGCTCGGTATTTTTTTTAAATAAAATAATTACCCCGCCCCCAACCCATCCCTATCTCTGGAAGTCCCACCCCAAGCCCAAAAGAAAACAGTTTAAGAAGAGTAAAAACAGTGATTCAGAACTTCCCACTTCGGTCTCGGAAGAAGCCCTCAGCCGCCTGAGCCTCGCGGAAGGTGACGGTGATGGAGTTGGCGGTGATGTCCGTCACGGTCACTTCACTTGGGGGGAGCGCAGGTGTCCAGGGAGGGGGCCCCTCGGCCAGGTCGGCATCTGCTGCAGCGTGAGACACAGACAGACAGATGGGAGCAGCGTTGAAAAGTGAGAAGCCAGGCAGACCACCCAACCCCACCCCAACTCCAGGTCTTCCTCTCTGCGTCTTCAGCCAGCTCAGGGCCTCGCACAGGACTGGACACTGGGAGGAGGGCACTGAGGGCATCTTCCCAGCCTAGACAAGAGCTCATCCGGAGTGGGAAGACAGGAGGAGCCCTGGGCTAGTGTCCGGGCACTGAGCCCAGACCCGACTGTTCCCGCAAAGCTCTAAGGGCTCTCTTTGGACACTGAGTCAGTTGGACCTGATGACCCACAGGGCCCTTTCCAGTTCTGAGGGTCTCTGGGCCTGGGCCGCCTTACCCTCCTCTTCAGGGGGCTGTGCAGCAGGCTCCCACTCGCCGGCCGCCTGCAGGACATCTGGGGCCGGTTGCTCCTGCAGGAAGAGCTCCCGTCGATGGCTGTGGCTCTCCAGGTTGGGCCCGCGAGGCGGGAACTTCTTGCGTGAGAGCCGCAGGTACTTGTGGGCCTTTCGGGGCTTGCGGAGTGGGAAGGGCAGGGTGGGCACCAAGGGGCCCTTGTCCACCAGCTCAGGTGTCCCCGCCTTGACCACCCCCTCAGGGCTCCCGCTGCCGAGCGGGCAGGTCAGGGAGAAGCAGAGCTTCTCCTTGCCCTTGGCCTTGTGGGAGCTCCGCAGGTCCATGCTGTACAGCCGCTGCGGGGGCAAGCCAGGGCAGCGCGGGTCAGCCCCGCCCTCCCACCCGCCACACGTTTGCTCATGCTGTTCCTCCCACCCGGAGTGCCCTTCCCACATCTGCCCACCCAACTCCTCCCCGTGCTGTGGACGGCCACCACCCCACCCAACTCAAGCCCAGAGAGTGGGCCCCCAAGCAGCCCCAGACTCTGCCAGCTCAGCCCCGCCTCTGGGCCCCACGGCACACTCTCATCTTCCCAGGGATGGGGGCTGGGGCCACACGTTTACTCCTTCCATACCCAGCAGAGAAGCATACAAGGACAAACTGAAAACTGACCGAGAGAAACCAATCTGAATGCATTACAGAGTTAGCCTTCATTTCAGGAAAGGCCTCTGCTTGCCAGAGCACCTCCAAAACTGACGCTGCCGGCTCACCCAGGAGATGGCACAGGGCAGAGGGCAAAGGGTGTGCCCCTGGAGTTGCTTGGGGCAAAGCCAAGCAAGCGGCGCATACAGCACCGCACCACATGCCCGTGCCGCCCAGCGGAAGGGACAGGGCTCCACCCAGCTGCAGATGCACCTGACCCCTCCAGGGTGCTCCTGGGCCCTATGTGCTGTTTGTAATTTCGGAATTTATCTTATTTACTTTGGGAGAATTTACACGAATCCACAAAAGATCCACGGTGCCAAGATGTTGGGAGACTCTGGATCACCGGAATAGGACCTTTTCCTGCCACCTGTCACCAAAGGCCAGGAGATCCCAGGAAGAGACAGCCATTAGATGTGACCTGTGAGGTCAAACACCTCCAAGCTGAAGGAAGAGATGACAATGCAGGCCCCGCTCACAGTTGTGCCTGCTAACGGCACCACATGTCCCGAGGTGCGGTCTGCAGTGATGGGAGGAGGCTGAACTGGGAGAGGACTGGGAAAACACTGCAGTGGCTAGGAGGCCCGTCCCGCAGGCAGCTGACTCAAAACACACTCCTCCCACCGCGCTCGCAGGCCATCAGAAGCCCAGTATAGGCCGAGGATGGTGGCTTATGCCTGTAATCCCAGCACTTTGGGAGGTGGAGGTGGGTGGATCACCTGAGGTCAGGAGTTTGAGACCAGCCTGGCCAACGTGGTGAAACCATTTCCGCTAAAAAACACAAAAATTAGCCAGGCGTGGTGGCAGGCACCTGTAATCCCAGCTACTCGGGAGGCTGAGGCAGGAGAATCACTTAAACCTGGGAGGCAGAGGTTGCAGTGAGCTGAGATGGCACCACTACACTCCGGCCTGGGTGACAGAGCAAGACTCTGTCTCAAAAAAAAAAAAAAAAAAAAAGAAGCCCAGGACATTCTACCATTCTGCAAGGCAGCTTCTTCTTCCTTGGCAAGCTCATCACAAGAGAACTGCAGCTATTAAAGTGACGCAGGTGGTAACAGTCATGTCCTGGGTAAGCTACCGGACTCCCTGGGCCTCGGTTTCTTTCTCAGCGAAACAGTGAAGAGGCTGTAGGAGCCAGCCTCCAAGGAGGGCCCCACCCATCCCCACCTCCTGGAATTCCCACCTCTGGGCAGTCCCTTCCCACACTGAGTGCTGTGGTGTGTGACTTCCCAGGCTAGGACATAAAAGACACTGTGGCTTCTTCCCTGCACACTCAAGCAGCCCTCTGGAGAGGTCCACGCTGTGAGGAACAGCTCCTGCCAATGCCCAGCCCTGACTTGCCAGCCCATGAGCAGCCCCCTCAGAAGCAGATCCCACAGCCCTGGCCAAGCCTACAGATGACTACAGCCCAGCCAACACCTTGACTGCAGCCCAAACTCGAACCACTACAGAACCAGCTAGTGCCTTCCCTAATTCCTGACCCCCAGAGACTATGGGAAATCATAAATGGTTACTGCTCTAAGTTGCCACGTTAGCGGGGAGAGAGAATGAACACACCTGCCCCGTGGGCTTAGTATGTGGAGTGTGTTCACTGATGAAGCACACCAGCACAGAGCCTGGCATGCAGACGTCTGGGAGATGTTACTTTCCTTCCTAGGCTCAATTCAAGCCAAACACAGTGGAACACACCCACTGCATGAAGGGAGGCCCACCCACGATGTGAAAGCCTCCATGGGCTATAAGCAGGAGTGGCCAGGACACGTGATGTGGACCACATGCAAATGGACCATGAATCCTGACTTTCTGGCTTCCAATGCCCTGCCTGGGGGCCTTATTACATTAAGGAGAGCGGGTATTCTCTTCACCCCCATTTTACAGGTGAAAAGATTTGCCTACAACCACACACAGGCAGAGTATTCCTTACCCGAAATGCTTGGCACCAGAAGTGTTTCGGACTTCAAATTTTTTTAGGAGTTTGGAATATTTGCATCATATTTACTAGCTGAGCATCCCCAATCCAAAAACCCGAAATTCAGAATGCTCCAATGAGCACTTTCTTTGAATACCATGTTGGTGCTCAAAGTATTTTGGATTGTGGAGCATTTCAGACTTTGTTTTTTTCTGGCGGGGGGAGCAGAGTTTCAGTCTTACCACCCAGGCTGGAGTGCAATGGCATGATCTTGGCTCACTACAACCTCTGCCTCTCGAGTTCAAGCAACTCTCCTGTCTCAGCCTCCCAAGTAGCTGGGATTACAGGTGCCTGTCACCACACCTGGGTAATTTTTGTATTTTCAGTAGAGATGGGGTTTCACCCCATTGGCCAGGCTGGTTTTGAACTCTTGACCTCAGCTGATCTGCCCGCCTTGGCTTCCCAAAGTGCTGGGATTACAGGCGAGCCACCACACCTGGCCGAATTTCAGATTTTGGATCAGGGAGACTCAACCTGTGACTGTGCTGCTCCACACTCCACTGGCCTGTCACTGCAAAGCACTGAGGTTAGCAAAGGCCCCAAAGACCTATGACGCAGGCGTGCCAGATGCTGCAGAGACTCGGGCCCCCACTTGACTGAAGGTTGGAAGAGGAGGCTCTGTAAGTTTTTTCCCACTCGAAAATGACACACTTCTAAGAGTCTGACATCCCAAGGCTATAGTTCTACAGATCTAAGACTCTGTTTCTTGGATTCGGAAATTCTAGTCTCTTATGTTTCCTCAATTCTAACATTTATGTTTCTGAGGTTCTCAATGATTATAATTTTCTGTTTAAGGATTCTGAGCATTAAAAGGGGCTCAAAGCTTTCAAGACTTCCTTACAGCAACATTCTAAGCTTTCAAAATCCTAGGATTCCACTGGCTCTAGGCCCACCCTCCCTCCCACCATGGCACCTCCCACTCAGTCTGTCTTGCCAGGGCACCAGCCCCCCTACACCACAGGCTTTCCCCACCTCCTCCCATCAAAACTTACCCAAGTGGCCCACCCCACAGTGCCCTGGGTGGTACAGGGGAGGGGACACAGATCAGCTCAACCAGCCAGTGTAAATGCACCAAGGGGCCGAAGGGGACTGGGGGCTGGACAGGGGGAGAAAGGAGGCACAAAGGCAGGCCGGTTACCTGCAGCAGAAGCCGCTTGGGTTTCGGACCTCTCTTCCTATACCCCGACGCTCGGTCTCTCTCCTCCCTGGGGTGTGAAGCAGGTGGCAGAAGAAAAGGAAACACTGGTGACATCTAAGGGAAGGGAAGGCATCCGCTTCGCCCGTCCTCTGCTCTCTGCCAGGGAGTGGACAATCCCCATTGGCCTGCCCATCCATCCTCCCCATTGCCTGGCTGGAGCTCTAACAATGGGGGTCACATGTTCAGCTCCCAGGGCCTTGGTCTTCCCATCTGACAAATGGGGAGGGCAACTGCTGAGGCGGGGACTTGCAGCATCTCGAAAAACATGTGGGTCCTTCTGGGGCTCCAGAGCCATGTCAGGGCTCTGCTCGACATGCTCCTGGGGACCCCCTAAAAACATGGCTCAATTTTTCCTCCTAGGGGAGTGATACAAGGCAAATCCAATTTGCCTTGAATGTTCCAGGGAGCTAATTGGAATGGCGAGTCCCTGTGTGAGTGATGTTCTGCACAGGATGCCCCAAATTTGGGATCTCTGTGAACCTGGGAGAGCAGAGAGGCTCCTACCGTGTCTGCACCATCTTGTTGGGGGACAGGAGGAAAATCAGCCTGTTCTGAGTGCCCAGTAGATGCCTTCCCATGTGCCAAATACACAAAGCACAGCTGAGGCCGGGTGAGGTGACTCATGCCTGTAATCCCAGCACTCTGGGAGGCTGAAGTGAGCAGATAACTTGAGCTCAGGGGTTTGAGACCAGCCTGGGCAACATGGTGAAACCCCATCTACCAAAAATATAAAAATTAGCCAGCCAAGGTGGTACACACCTGTGGTCCCAAATACTCAGGAGGCTGAGGCAGGAAAATTGCTTTGTTTTTTTTTTTTTTTAATGGAGTCTTGCTCTGTCACCCAGGCTGGAGTGCAGTGGTACGATCTCAGCTCACTGCTGCAACCTCCACTTCCCAGGTTCAAGCAATTCTCCTGCCTCAGCCTCCCGAGTAGCTGGGATTACAGGTGTCCACCACCATGCCCATCTAATTTTTGTATTTTTAGTAGAGACAGGGTTTCACCATGTTGGCCAGGCTGGTCTCGAACTCCTGACCTTAGGTGATCTGCCTGCCTCGGCCTCCCAAAGTGCTAGAATTACAGACATGAGCCACCACGCCTGGCTGAGAATTGCTTGAACCTGGGAAGCAAAGGTTACATGAGTCAAGATCGCACCAGTGCACTCCAGCCTAGGTGACAGAGTGAGATTCCATCTCAAAAAAAAAAAAAAGCATGACTTGATGATGCCACAAAGCTACACATGACACGCAAGACAACACAACCAGAGACTCCAAACTGCCAAAAGTAGTGGGGAGAGTCAAAGCACGTCATCCTGCCTCCCGCTTCAGTTCTCTCCACCCACACTCTCTGGAGCCCCCGGTACAGAGGCCACGTGGACAGCAGAAAGAATGTGGAGGCCAGGATCTCACCCCTTCTCCCCTTCCTGGTCGTGTGACCTTGGGCCAGGCTCTGACGCTGAGCTCAGCACACACCAGTGAACCTGCGGCATATATTGCAAATGTCTGAACATCCACAGAGCCTCCATCCCCTGCAGGATAGATACCCGGGGGCCAAGGGATAGGACCCCGGAGGAGGATTGGAATCTGGACCTTTGATACCTGCCCAAGCTCCAAGGATTCCCAAGTGTCACACCCTGTTGGACCAAGACCCCACCACACACCTAGGAGGCAGAAAGAAACACTGGGATGGGGGACACCGATTTTTTTTTTTTTTTTTTTTTTTTTTTTTGCAATGGAGTCTCTCTCTGTCACCCAGACTGGAGTGCAATGGCAGGATCTCCGCTCACTACAACCTCTGCCTCCTGGGTTCAAGCAATTCTCCTGCCTCAGCCTCCTGAGTAGCTGGGATTACAGGTGTCCACCACCATGCCCAGCTAATTTTTGTATTTTTAGTAGAGACAGGGTTTCACCATGTTGGCCAGGATGGTTTCAATCTCCTGACCTCAGGTGATCCACCCACCTTGGCCTCCCAATGTGCTGGGATTACAGGCGTGAGCCACCGCGCCTGGCCAGACACCAATTTTTAAAGGAAAGCACAGTGAAATTTGTCCTTTGAATCCATGGCAGGAAACCTCCTGGGGGAGGAGCCGTGAGAACCCAGCAAGGGGCAGTGAAAAGCCACAACTTGGAGGTGTGAGCCCTGGCTAGGTCCTTGCTGTGAGGCTCCTGGACTCCTCCAGCCTGCTTCCTTCTCTGTCAAACAAGACCCTCATCTTTGCCTCAGGAGGTTGCCACAGGGGCCAGACACAAATGATTTTGTGAAATGGTGCCACGCCGCATAAGGCAGGCGGGCTGGGAGAGGCAGGGGATCTGGGTTGCCTGCTGGCAGGGAGGGCGGCCAAACAGGGCACATGGAATAGTCAGGGCATGCTCCGAATCCCCGGGGGGCTCTGGCAGAGGTGGGAGACTGACTTTGCCCAGGCCACTTGGATAGGAGGTGGCAGAGAGATAGGCCAGAACTCAGAAATACCAGCCCCAAAGGCCACGCTCCTGCCCAGCCTTCCCTGAGCTTGATCAGACGCTCCTTCTGGCCCTGAGAGGTCCTCTAGAGACGCTGTCTCTGACCTGTCACTCCAGCACCACTGGCAGTGCACACTGGGGATCTCCGTGAAGCGTTTTCACATTCTTCACTGGAACGGAAACCTCTTACGGGCCCCTCTAAGGTTTCACCCTGGCAAAATCAGGGTGTTCTTCAGGGTGGCCCATTTTAAAGCAGAGGGACTGAGGCCTGGGTGGGTAAAGGAAGTGACCAAAAGCACCCCACGATAGGAAAGGGACCCAAGGTCCTCTACTGCCCTGGGACTCGGTGCTCACCACTTTTACCCAGCTGCAGACCAGGCTGGCCTACCCCATCGGACACCACCACCCTGCCCCAAGAACTCCTGCCAAGCCAGCAGCAGGCTCCTAGGAAGCCTTCAAGCCGGCCCTAAGTCCCACCCGGCAGCGCCGAGGACACCGTACTTCTCCTCGTAGGCCATGACAAGGCGGGGGTCCAAGATGTGCTCTTCTGGCTCCCACGTGCTGTACCTGGGAAGAGGAATGAACGGTCAGAGTCGGGGCTAGGCACGGTGGCTTACGACTGTAATCCAAGCACTTTGGGAGGCCAAGGCAGGCAGATCACCTGTGGTCAAGAGATCGAGACCAGCCTGGCCAACATGGCAAAACCCTGTCTCTACTAAAAATACAAAACTTAGCTGGGCGTGGTGGTGGCGCCTGTAATCCCAGCTACTCAGGAGGCTGAGACAGGAGAACTGCTGAAACCCAAGAGGCAGAGGCTGCAGTGAGCTGAGATCACGCCACTGCACTCAACCTGGGCAGCAGAATAAGACTCTCAAAAAAATAAAAATTATTATTTTTTAATTTTAAAAAAAGCTTTAAAAGAGAAATTAAAACTTTTTTAATAGATGAAAGCTTATAGAATATGAAGCAAATATTTTGTACAACTGTACATGTTTGTGTTTTAAGCTAAGTGTTACTACAAAAAGAGATAAAAAGTTAAGTTTATAAAGTAAAAAAGTTACTATAAGCTCAGGTTAATTTATTTTTAATTTTATTTTTTTGAGACGAGGTCTTGCTCTTGTCGCCTAGGTTGGAGTGCAGTGGCACAATCTCGGTTTGCTGCAACCTCCGCCTCCTGGGTTCCAGAGATTCTCCTGCCTCGGCCCCCCTGAGTAGCTGGGATTACAGGCACACACCACCACGCCTGGCTGATTTTTGCATTTTTAGTAGAGACGGGGTTTCACTATGTTGGCCAGGCTGGGCCTGAACTCCCAACCTCAGGCGATCCACCCACCTGGGCCTCCCAAAGTGCTGGGATTACAGGCGTGAGCCACTGTGCCCGGCCTAGATTAATTTATTATTAAAGAAAACCATTTCTGGGCCAGGCATGGTGGCTCACGCCTGTAATCCCAGCACTTTGGGAGGCTGAAGCAGGTGGATCATGAGGTCAAGAGATAGAGACCATCCTGACCAACATGGTAAAACCCCGTCTCTACCAAAAATACAAAAATTAGCTGGGCGTGATGGCATATGCCTGTAGTCTCAGCTATTCGGGAGGCTGAGGCAGGAGAATTGCTTGAACCCGGGAGGCGGAGGTTGCAGTGAGCAAAGATTGAGCCACTGCACTCCAGCCTGGTGCCTGGTGACAAAGTGAGACTGTCTCAAAAAAAAAAAAAATTTCTGTATAAGTTAGTGTGGCATAAATGTACAATGTTTCCAACAGCCTAGGTCTTCATATTTCACTCACTGATAGTGAGTGGCACGTGTCTGGGTGACAGAGCAACTTCCGGCTCCGCAAACTCCGTTCCTGGGAAGTGCTCTAGAAGGTGTCCCACGTTTTGTCTTTGATGCTGCTGCATTCTTCCTGTCCCTTTTCTAGTTTGGATGCATTCAGTACAGTCATATGCTGTGCAGGCTTGTAGCCTAGGCACAGCAGGCTCTACCACATAGCCCAGGTGTACAGTGGGTTGTGCCATTTAGGCGTGGGTAAAGTCACTCTATGACGTTCACACAATGAAATCACCTAACAATGCATTTCTCAAAATGTACATCCCTGTCATCAAGCAACGCATGACTGTGTATAAAATATACGCAGACAAAAGCCAAGCGATGCTCTGTAGTCCTGCCCAGAGGCTCTGCTAGGTCAGATGGAAAGCAATGGGTGCCAGCGAGGGGTTAAAAGGCAGAAGGAGCCTGGGAGAGCCCCTGCCCTGATGCCTTCCTGGCCCTAGAGCTGAGGCCTCTACCTCACGCCATCCTGGAAACCACCTAACCCTAGTTCAGTCCCAAAAAGCTGCATAAGGACAGGATGCTTGACTCCTTGCTTCCTCTAACACTCTGGCATACCCACTTAAGTGTCAGGCCTCTGTGGGCCCGCAGTGAAGCCCTGAGCCAGGACCACCCCTTCCCATGTGCCCCCTGCCAGCCGGCCCTCCCTCCCTGTGGGTGCTCCCATCAGTCTAGTCAACTCCTAGTGGACCCTTAAGAGCCAGGTCTTTGTAGCCTTCCCTGACATCCCTCCCAGGCTGTCCCACTGCCAGCAGGACGAGCCTGCCCCTCCTCCGCTCTCCTTACAGCTAGCCAGGCCCTGGCCATAATCACTGTTGGACTAGGAGACACCCTGGCTGGCAGAGCCCTGCAAAGTGGCCCGCTCAGGCCCTCCCGGGGCTCTGGGAAGGGCTGGGGAGCCCCTGCAGAAATGCTGAAAGCGAAACTACAGCAGAAGCCACCAGAGGCTGGCAGCCACTCTAACCCTTCCTCCCCCCTCCCCCCGGAAAAAGCTGAATCTCCTCAGCTCCAACTGGTAGGAAGGGGAATTCTGTGCTCCTTCTGATAGTGGGTTTCAGCATGCTTCTCCGCACCGCCCTGCCCATGGCTTGCTGAGGTCCCTACCCTTCTCTGAACTTGTTTTCTTAACTCAAGAATAACGACCACACAGCAACAGCTGGTGCAGCAGGGACCCCACCCATCCTCAAAAGGTGCTAATAAGGTAGGTGCTTAGTTCTTACCCCCATTTTACAGATGGAGAAACTGAAACACGGAGGTTCAGCAGCCAGCCCAGGGTCACTGAGCCATTCAGTGGCCACCCTCTGCCTTTAGGCCCCTCCCAGGCCACCGCGTCTGGGACCCCCGGCTGTGCCGCCCCCGGGTGCCCCGGAAGGCTCGGTAGCCAGCCCAGGCAGCGGGGTCTGAGGTAACACGGTCAATCGCACTTGGCAGCTGGGTGCAGCCCCAAGTTGGGGGCGGGGGCGGCACCAGCGTCTTAACCGCTTGGACCCAGCCGGTAAAGGGGACGCCGCGCCGCGCCGCGCCCTCCGCAGTGCAGGAGCCTGGAGGAGCCGCGGGGAACGCGCTTCCGAAGAGTCCAGGAGCGTGCCACCAGCGTGGGCACGGCGGATCGAAAGGATTAGACCCCCACGATCACCGGAGACCTTTGGGTGCCTGGAGGAGAGCGGGCCCTTGTACGTCCCAGGACACCCTTCCCACACCAGGAGAGATAGGGTGGAAAGGAGCCAGGGCTCTGGGGACACGCACGTTGCCTGGGATGAGCAGCCCGCGGCGTGGATACTGGGGGACCGCGGGGACTGCATTGGGCTAGCGGTGCCGGCGGGGCGGGAACCGAGCGCCCTGTGGGAGGGGGCGTAGCGCCCAGGCCCCGCCCCCGCAGTCGGCGGCCGCGCGCACGCACGGAGTGGCGCGCGCACCAGGATTACCGGCAAACCAAGGAGGCGGGGGCGGGGACGGGACAGGGACGGCGCGCGCCAGCTCCGAGATAAACACGGCCACGTGACCGCCCCACCCCGCCCCACACCCGGTAAACAAGCCCTGGCGGTCTCGCCCGAGCCCGGCCGCGCAGGGCTTGACACGCTAGGGTGAGGGCATGGAGTGGGAAGGGGCGCGGCAGGTGCAGGACCCCCGCCCCCAGCCGGCCTTTCCTGGGGGCGGGGGGGGGAGCGGGGCTTAGGGGGCGCTGCTGAGCTGTGACGCAGGCGGCCTTGGGGGCAGGGGGAAGCACCCCAAAACCCTACAGAGCCAGGCCAACCCCCAAGTTCCAGTCCCCACTCCAACTGAAAGCTGCCCCTTATGAGAAACACCATGGGCTCCGATCCAGACTGCGGGGTGCGGCGTCGTTCAAGTGACTCCACTGCTCTGGGGCCTCATTCTGAAGTGGGCCCACCAGTAGTCACAGCCGTTTAGGGAGGTGGTGAAGATTAGATGTGTTAAGCCACGTAAAACGTTTCCAACAGGCCGGGCGCGGTGGCTCACCCCAGTAATCCCAGAACTTTGGGAGGCCGAGGCGGGTGAATCACGAGGTCAAGACATCGAGACCATCCCGGTCAACATGGTGAAACCCCGTCTCTACTAAAAATACAAAAAATTAGTTGGGCATGGTGGCGCGTGCCTGTAATCCCAACTACTCAGGAGGCTGAGGCAGGATAATTGCCTGAACCCAGGAGGCAGAGGTTGCGGTGAGCCGAGATCGCGCCATTGCACTCCAGCCTGGGTAACAAGAGCAAAACTCTGCCTCAAAACAAAAAACAAAAAACATTTCCATCAGTGTGGTACACAGTGAAGGCAAATAAGCCTGAATGAAATCAATGAAAAGCCCAGGCAGCGGAAAAATCTGCGGCTCCTAACTTGAGGCTCCCCAGCCTCGGTGGAGACAGCCCTAGCTCCCATTCTGCCCCAGCAGGGTATTAATAAATCTTATCTTGTGTCAGGCAGTCTTCAGCAGGGCGCCATGAGGTTAGGGCCTCTTTTATAGGTGGGGAAACTGAGGCACAGAGAGGCTGAAGGCTTTGCCCTGGGTCACTCAGCTGTAAATTACAACTAGAGTTCAGAGGTGGAAAGCCTCAGCACTTCCCACAGACGAGTCTGGTCACCTCTAGTGGAGCTGGCTGTGGCATCAGAGAGGTAGGCCCCCAAGCCCTGGGCCAGGCAGCCCTTAGTTCACATCATGGCAGCTCCAAGACCCTGGGCAAGGCCTCTTCTCTGTTGTAGGCTCTGTCTCTCCATCTGTAAAATGGGTTGCTATGAGTGGCTGAATGAGCCAATGCCTGATTTACAATAGGGGTTTATTCTCTGACAGCCTGGCCATGGCTGTGACCACTGATATCATTCCTAAAACTCCACAGAGCCAGTTCTTCCAAAAAGATGGAGAACCATTCACAAGTAGGGCAGAGAGGAAGGCATTCTGGAAGGAGGAACAGCAGGACCCTAGACAGGCTAAAATGATCATCTGGAGGCCTCAGGCACAGCCAGCACCTGTAACTGACCATGTAACATGCCCTGCCCCCTGCCCCAGCCCCTCCCTGTGCCATTTGTTGTGCTTTCCAGAAGCAAGAGAGCCCCTCTGCCACACTGGGGGGACAAAACAGGCAAGGCATGTAGTGGCTTAGCCTGGGCCTTGCACAGAGCGTCCAATTTTTGGGGGGCTTGAGGGGTATGGAGTCTTGCTGTGTCCTCCAGGCTGGTGTGCAGTGGCGCGATCTCGGCCCACCGCAACCTCCGCTTCCCAGGTTCAAGTGACTCCTGCCTCAGCCTCCAGAGTAGCTGCGATTACTGGCACGTGCTACCATGCCTGGCTAATTTTTTATACTTTTGGTAGAGATGGGGTTTTTGCCATGTTGGCCAGGCTGGTCTTGAATTCCTGACCTCAAGTGATCCACCCACTTCAGCCTCCCAAAGTGCTGGGGTTACAGGCACGAGCCGCCGCGCCTGGCCCAGAGTGTCCACTGAAATCACGGTTCCTGTTACTGTTACTGAGAGGAACGTAAGTCTCCCCACCCAGAGGGCAGCTGCTGAGCAGGAGAATGACTCCCCCCACCCAGGCTGGCACTGCCCAGCCAAGGCTCCCAGGCCTGGAGGACACAGCCTGCCTAACTCCCCACCTCGCCACCCTCCTTCTCAGCTTTTTCTCCAAGCAAGGCCCCCTGAGGCGGGGAAGACAGAGCTGGCTCCCCTGCTTCTCTCCAGCATGAACTTCTGTTTCCCCCAAGTGAGGTGGGGATGGTTAGCAACTGTACTTGCCTCACACCCAGACTGTGGCGCTGTGCGAGGCATGAAGTGGGCACCATAGGGCATGGGGTTGGCAGTTATATTCTTGTAAGGACCACCCCTCTCTGGGCCTCAGTTTCCCCATCTGAAAAATGAGAGGACTGGCCTAAATGATTTCTAAGGATATTTTGAGCTCCTAAGAAGAATGGAATCCCCTAGGTCCCTTTCCTGACTGGGAAAAACAAAAAGAACTATGTTATCTATCTAGCTTGGTGTTAAAACCAAGTGTTTACTAAAGCGCTTGTACTGGGCTGAGCACGCACTTGCTAACTTACATCCACCATCTCACCCTCACAGAAGCCTGCAAAGGAGGCTTTGCTATCCCAATTTGAAGATGAGCAAGTGGAGACCCAGCCAAGGTGGGCCCCTGCCCCAGGGCTCATGGCTGTCGGGTGGACAGCCAGGCCTAAAATCCAGGATCAAAGTGGAGGGGGGTGACAAGGCAGTCAAGAGGGCCCATCTGGTGGCCTCAGCATGTTAAGAAACAAATGGGTCCCCGGGCCAGGGTTACTGCACAACAGAAGCATCGAGGGCCTCTGCTCTGGGAGCCTGGTTCCTTCCCTCCTGACGAGCCGCAGTGGGCAGACGGATTCTCATCCAGGATCAATCAAAGTAGGGGGAGGAACTTTTCATTCATAAGGGTCTCTGCTTACAGAAGAAAATCTTCCAAAGAGTAGAGTCTCCAGAGGAGGAAAAATAGTGTCCTGAAGGCTAACAACTGGTCACCAGGGCCATGATGCCTCAGCTTCCCAGTGCGGAGCGAGAGAGGCAGGGCTGTGCGTGCCCAGGGAGGCGGTGTTCCTGCTGCCCACTCTGAGCATCATTGCTCCCTTTGCTGCCCCCTTCACCCAGGCTGGAAGCCCACCTTGAAGGAGCCGTGGGGGCAGCGGATCCTCCTTCAGCCCTCAGAATATTTGGGAAGGGAGAAGAGCAGTGGGGGTGGCGTGAGGGGTGGAGTGTATTCTCCGCTTGCCAAACCCAGTCATCAGGATACCCGCAGGTCACCCAGAACATGTGCCCAGGCCTTTCATCCCACAGGGCCACCAAGCCTGTGAGATGAGTGCAGGGCCTGGGTTTCTTAACCCATTTTGCAAAGAGAGAAGCTGAGGCACTGTGGGCTATCTTCCTTTCTGCTGTCTCTCCCCACCATCACCCCAGAATGGCCACAGGACCCCACATCAGGTCAGCCCCCACCAGCACAGCGGAGAGGCCCTGTCCCTGGCAGCAGAGGCCCTGGGCAGAGGGGGTTTCCAGGAGTCAGCCTCCAGGAGGTGGGGCAGGGGGTAGACCAATGGGAAGGCCCCACGACTAGCTCATTCCCTCCCCTCCCAACAACTCCCTGCCAGAAGGCATTGGTGGGTTCCTGGTAGGGCCTCAGCAGGGGAGGTGGAGCAGGTAGGGGGTCTCAGCTGCAGCTCCCTGCTCCCCAGCTCTGAGACTGGGAAGGCACGGAGGAGGCACCTGAAAAGGAGAAGGCCTAGTTCAAGTCCCAACTCTGCCTCCACTTGCTGTGTGACCTAAGGCAAGCTGCTTACCCTCTCTGAGCCTGTTTCCTCACCTTGATAGAGCCTGATCACATCTGCCTTACAAAGCTGTATGGGAGCCTGCTCCGTACAGCTGGATGGAAAAGTGCCGTCCAGGGGTGAGGGGGATTCAGGCTCTGCCCTTGGCCACAGAGCACTGAGGACTCAGTCAGCACTATACTTAAAGTGGCTGGGGGCCCCTCCTCCTGCCCAGCAGCCCTCTCCAGTAGCACAGATGCTGGGCCTTCACCTCCCAGTTGCCAAGAAAAGCCAGAGGGAAGGCAGGAGGGAGAGGAGACACTAACCAGCAGAAGCGCTCAACACTGTGCGAGGCAGAGTGAGAAGAGAAGCTGGAGACCCACCTTGACCCTCCTGTGGTCCAAGGGGAAACTGAGGCCCAGAGAAGATGATGATTAAATCAAGGTCAGCTGTTCAGTTACAAGAGCAGCTGAAGCTAATAGCTAGGCAGGGGAGGGGGCAAAAGGCAGGTGGAGGAATGCATGGGTAGACAGACAGACACACACACACGAAGGAGCTTACTTTGGGGGCCATCCTTTCCACTTCACCAGATACTCGACTTTACCCTGAGGAGAGAGAGAAGCAGACACAGTGAGTCTCACGGTTGTCCCTACAGCTACTCGGAAGGACAGTTAAGGCCCAAAGGATCCCAGCTCCAAATCCCCTCTGCAGACAGGTGTCCCCCAACACGCAAACACAATCCGTGGACCATTCACCAGATCCTCACCAACCCATATCACCGTGGCTGCTGCATGATCACCCACACTGCCCTCCCTATGACAGCACAGGAATGCATCTGGCCCCAAACACCTCTGAGGCTCCTGAGGCCTAAGCCCAGAGCTCATGTCACACGTGGGGAACTGGGACTACAGGGAGGTGTGCGTGCGTGGCCAAAGACCCACAGTGTTTGGAGCCCCAGTGCACAGGTCGGGACGCTTACTTTCTTTTTTAGATTGGAAGAGTCTCCAAATCTGAGAACATTCCTCTCTGGGGTGTTCCCCACGCTCCTCCCCCATCTACTGAGTCTCCTCTCAGTCTTTGAGAGGCTGCCTCTGGCTCACAGGCAATGGGCCAGTAACTTGAGGACCCTTAACTCAAAAGACCCTGGCAAGACCCCATAGAAGACTGGCAAACTCTCCACCTTCAGAAGGGGTGGTCAGCCCTTCAGTTGTTAGAAAGTACAGCCATTTGAAACTTTACAGTTATGGTGGCTCATGCCTGTCACCCCAACACTTTGGGAGGCTGAGGCTAGAAGATCGCTTGAGCCCAGGAAGGAGTTTGAGACCAGCCTGGGCAACATGGTGAGACCCCACCTCTGAAAAAAGGAAATTAGTCGGGCATGGTGGCACTTGTCTGTGGTTCCCAGCTACACAAGAGGATCGTTTGACCCAGGGAGGTTGAGGCTACTGTAAGCCACGTTTATGCCACTGTACCCCAGCCTGCATGATAGAGGCCTCGGTGCCAGACAAAAAAGGTTACAGTCCAACCCCATTCTGTGATAACCTGCTTTCTGCCAGCTAAAACTGACTCTCTTTCTCAGACTGAGAGCTGTTCAGCTTCATGTTAGCTTCTAGAGCCGGACAGACTCCATCTCAGCTTCTTCATATTAGTTATTTCCCACCATTCAGTATGTAACTGTATGTAACTGTAGTGCAAAGCTGGGGCAGGCTGACACTGGGCACCTCCAGGAATGCATTTGCGGATAAGAGGCCGAGTTAAGTGGCACCAGCAGAGCCTGGGAATGCAGGTGCTGTCGAGCGCCCAGAGCCCCCAGTATCTGTAAGTTGTCTGTCTTTCATGACAGCTTTACCCCTTGCACCCGGCACTGTTTCATTTCTCATGTACTGGTTTATCTTTTAAACTTTTGGCTTACTCTGCTTCTGTGAAGTTTGCTTCAGCTAGGTTCCCCTTCCCTTTTACAACTAGGGTCTAAAAGACCACCCAACTTTTTCTTAGGGGCCGAGAGAATTTTGGGCATTAGCTGCCTCTCGGTCACTGGCATAATAAAGGACTCATAATTCAATCTCAGAGTGTGGTGCATTCCTTGACTCGCTCAGGTGCAACAATTCAGTGAGTGAAGCCCCTCCATGCCAGAACTTTAAGACCAAGATATGAAACCTCCTCAGAGAGGCTTTCCCTAGCAACCCTCTCCCATGCTGTCTTCACCGGCACCTTGCAGTTCTATTTCTGCGGAGCATACAGCTCCATCTGAAGGCATCTGTCTGTATCTCCTCATTCACTGTGTGGTGCCTCTGCAGAATGCCAGCTCCCAGAGGGAAGGGATGGATCCCTGGGGCTTACTTAGACTGGTGCCTGGTACATGATAGATCCTCAATAAGTATTTTGAGTGACTGGCCGAAGAAATGATGGTCTCGATCTCTTGCACTACCCTGCGAGCCCCATCGTAGAGGGCGTTAGTGTTGTACCTGCTTCAGGCTACACAGCATGCAAAAGCACTGAGCTTTGTGGAATAAATTCATTCTCTTTTAAGTTGAGGAAACCCTAGGAAAAAGGAAGAGAAGGAGGAACAGCTGCCTCAATCAGAAGAGTAGAACCCCAAGCAGAGTTGAAGGAAGAAAGATGCTCCTGACCACCTTGACCTTCACCCTTGGCCCAAGATGCCAGGACTGAGATTTCTCTATGGAGAAAGAAGATGGGCTGGCAATCAGCCCAGCTGAGCTCCTGCTCTACCTCTCTAACTCGCTGAGTGACCTTGAGCAGGTCACTTCTTCTGCGCCTCAGTTGTTTTTTTTTTTTTTTGAGACGGAGTTTCGCTCTTGTTACCCAGACTGGAGTGCAATGGCACAATCTTGGCTCACCGCAACCTCCGCCTCCTGGGATCAGGCAATTCTCCTGCTTCAGCCTCCCCAGTAGCTGGGACTACAGAAGCACACCACCATGCCCAGCTAATTTTTGTATTTTTAGTAGAGACGGGGTTTCACTTTGTTGACCAGGATGGTCTCGATCTCTTGACCTCGTGATCCACCCGCCTCGGCCTCCCAAAGTACTGGGATTATAGGTGTGAGCCACCACATCCCGCCAAGCCTCAGTTTTTGTCTCTGTTAAATGGGAGGAGGTACCCTAGGGCCCCTCCCAGTCCGCCTGGAGCCTCCCAAAGGGCTGCAGGGAGGAGGAGACAAAGGAAGGACAGTAGTGAGTACCAGGAGAGGAACTTCTCCCCAAGCCTAACCTCCAGCCTTGGGCAAGCCCCCTTGCCAAACAAGTGCACAGGAGGTGTAGACGCCAGGCCGGGACAAAGTCCAGCCCCAACTGTGGGGTTCTGAAACTAGCAGATCAGACACCTCCTTAAATTGCAGGGTGTTATGTTTTGAAGGAGAAGGCAGATGGGATAAGGAGCCTAGGGGATGCCCCATCGCAGGGGGCGGGCTTCTGAGCCCTGGCCGGGCTAGGAGTTGAGGTGGGGTTGGGGCGGGGAAGAAGGATGTGCTCGGGTGGGGGTAGAGGCAACCAGATCGGAGAAGGCCAAAGTCCAGCAGGAGAACTTCTGAGGCCGGAGGAGGCTTTTCCAAAGCTCCACTTACTCGAAAGGACTTGGTGCCAAGCATCCAGAGTCCCGAGTTCAAGACCCAGCTCTGACACTAATGTGCTAGGCAAGTCCTTTCAACTTGGGCCTCAGTCTCCCCATATTTACAATAAAAGGGGAGCGCGGCGGGATGGTGCTCAGGATCCCTATGTCCGATCCCAGTCTCCAGCTCAGGCGAGCTCGGCCACCCCTAACATCCTGGAGAGACAACTTTTATTCTACTCGTCCTACACGGTGGCAGGGAAACTGAGGCACGGACTGGGGAGACGGGCCCAGCAGCGCAGGGCTGCAGGCGCTCCGCGCCCCGCTTTCCCCCTCAGCCCCAGCGTGGACGGAGCGGTGCTGGGGACGGGAGGGACCCCACCGGGGTCCTGGGAGCCGCCCCCGGGCAGCCTCACCTTCCGCACACGCTTCTTCCGGATGCTCTCCACGGCGAACACCTGCTCGCCGATTGCTGACAGCTCCATGCGGGGCGGCAGGGGAGCGGGCCCGGGGCCGGGCCGGGGGCGGAGCTGCGGGGCCGCGGCTGCGGCGCGCGATGCTGGGGCTGGCGGGGTCCCTGTCACCCTCGCCCGGGCGCGCACGCGCGCGCGTACGCGCGCACACCCCCTCGCGCTCCCTCACGCCGCCGACGTTCCATTTTTGAACCTGCGCAACGTTTTCAGCGGCGCCAGCGAGCGAGCGCGCGCAAGGAGGGGGCGGGGCAGGAGCGCGCAGGCCGGCCGCCGGGCTCTGCTCGCGCCCTGTGGGTCAGCCCCGCCCCCGAACCCGGGTCCTCCCCCGCCGTAGCCCCGCCCCGGGATCCGCCCCCCCGCGTTGCTATTGGGCGGCGCGCCGCGTGCGCCGGGACGCGCGACTTACTTGTCTCGGGCGCCGGCTGGGGCGGGGCGGAGGCTCGCGCGTCGCTTTTCGCTGTGTTGCCGGGTCAGGACGTGCTCCTTAATTCCTCCGCGGGCGCCTCACAGCCTCCCGGTGACTGCGAGGGGCCGAAACGGCTGGGCTCTGTGGGGCCGACGACAAAGTCGAGGCTCAAAGCAGGGAGGTCATTTGCCCACCTCCCGCAGCGGACGAGACGGGCCCGGGGCCCTTGAGTTGCCGGAGGGCCGGGACCCAGAAGGCTTCCCACCGTGTCCGGTCGTCGCAGGGCTGAGGTCTCCCTAATCCCGCCTTCGCCGCGGCGCAGTTTGGCCGGCGTCTCCACATCCGTCCGGCCACCCCTTCATCCTCCCCTATGTCAGCCCACCCGACCCTCCAAGGTCGATGCCGAGATGCGCCGGTCAGAAGCGGGCGCTACTGCCTCGAGGGCTCCCAGGCCCGGCCCTGGTTCGCGGCGGAAGCGGCCGCGGTGAGCTGAGGTTCCCCGGGGACGGATTTTGCCGCCGTGCTGCCCCAGCCTCCCCCAGGCCCGCCCGCACTGGGCGCCTGGTGTGTAGTAGGGGCTCAGCCATTTGTGGCACCAGGTCCGACACGAACTCTTGATTCCCCACCCCTTCCTTTTTGGCTAACGCGCCTCCATTCCTCGCGGGGAGCCGGGAGTCGTCCCTGCTCCTTCCTGCACTGCCCGCAACTCCTGGCGCTCAGTCCTCCCCTCAGGGACTCGGGTCGGCCGGCTCTCACCGCCCGGGGGGGCGTCGTTTCTCTGGACCACAGCAGAGACCTCGCGGAGCTGCCGTCCCTCCGATCTCGGCCACAAAGTGCCAGAGTGCGCGGCTAAAATGCAGATCTGACGGCGTTGTCCTGTGCTGAAAAACTTTCCTCCTTATTCCCCTCAGAATAAAATCCAACACCTCTTTCTGGCACTCAGAAAAAGGGAATAATAGATTCACACCTGACTTTTCATCAAGAAGAACGGAAGCCAGAGAGAAAATAACCATCATCTTAGAATTACATATTCAATGAAAATGTCTTTAAAGGATTATCCGGTATGAAGCAGATGTATCCAGTACGTAGGGGAAA